ACTTTCTGGAATGATAAGTGGGTGCCGAGCTTGGGGCCTTTACGAGATTACACCCGAGATTATATACATGCTGATTTAACTCAAAAACTTCACAACTTCGTTGACGATCATGGCCATTGGGACGTTGCAGCTTTTTTTGAATTCTTATTCCAGCTGTCATCCCTCACGTCATCAGTGTTAGACCACCTGATAGAAGCGATAAGCCCGATGTCCTGGTTTGGAGATGGAATCCTGAACTTAACTTTACAATTAAGTCAGCTTATACTTTTCTCATAGAAGGTAACTGGAATGAAAAAAGCTCTATTTGGAAGGCAATTTGGTCAATCACTGCTCCTCAACGAGTTCGCATGTTTGTATGGCTCGCTTATAAAGAAAAAATCATGACGAATTACAAACGAGGAAGACGAATGCTCACAAATAACCATTCCTTTCCGACTTGTGGTGCAGCAACTGAAACTGTAATTCATGTGATACGTGACTACCCACCAAGCCGACACCTGTGGTTGCGCATTGTACCCCAATCTGCCTGCTCAAACTTTTTCGGGACTGACCTTCATTCATGGATTACACAAAACATCAACATGCAGCGTCCCTTACGCGATGGTGATCCTTCTTGGTTCTCCTTTTTTGCTGCTCTCATTTGGCTAATTTGGAAACAAATGAACGATTATGTTTTTAAGGGCGCCATTTATAAAACAAACTCGATACTTCATAGTAGTTATAGCTGGGTCAAATGCTATGAAACCAACATCAAAACTCCTGCTAAACTCCCGAGAGAACGGGTGGCTGTTTCAACGTGGTCTCCGCCACCCCAGGAATGGATGTGTTTAAACATGGATGGTGTAGTTACACTTGATGGGCGAGGTTCGATTGGTGGTGTGCTTTGCAACTCCACTGGTGATTGGATTAAAGGTTTTACTAAGAATATAGGGACAACATCTGTCCTCCACGCAGAACTCTGGAGCATCTACGAAGGTTTACTCATTTCAAGGAGCGTTGGGTTTCTAGATTATTGATACAATCCGACTGTAGCAGAGCAGTCAAGCTGGTCGAAGATAGTGCTGCCACTGACAGTCACATTCCTTTATTACGCGCAATTCTGAAGCATTGACGGTCAGGATGCTGGATAACAAAGGTCCACCGGATAAGTAGGAATGGGAACAAGATTGCAGATAAGATGTCAAAGCTTGCCTCCTGTAATCACTTCAGTTTGATTCGTTTTGACTACCCCCAGATGAGATTGTTGACCTTCTTCGATTAGAAACAACCATTGCCCAGCACGATGATGCCACTAGCCATACTTAGACTTCTGTCTTAGGCTTTCTTTTAATTCAAAAAAAAAAAAATATATGAACGAAAATATAACACAATAATTTTTTTTACACAAAAACGTAAATAATTTGATTTTATATTATTACCGTATCGGCAAAAATATTTCAACGTACGCTGCTTTCCAATTTTACAACCACAAAAATTAATTGAAAACAATTAATACAATATTTTTTTTCAAATAATCATATATAATTATAAAAAAATATTATAAAAAATTACCTTATAACGAAAGATCGAACGAACTTCTGAATAAAATATAAAAGGATTGTTGGGTGTTTTTTTACTAGTTGAGAGGATTATTGTAGTAGTTTCTCGGTTTAGAGGGAGTTGTGAGAGATTTTTAGGGGGAAGGGGGTATTTATAGCGGAGAGACGATGTTTTAAAGCCGAGAAATTCGGATGAAATTATGCAAGGCGCGACCCCTGCACCGCGCCTTGCATTATGCATGTGATAATTGCAAGGCGCGGCCCCTGCATCACGCTATATCCCTACGTGGCGTAAGACGCGCCCCAGGGGCCACGCTTTAGCCAACGTGTAACTATGTCAGCATAAGGCGCGCTACAGGGGGCGCCTTACCCTACGTGACGTAAGATCAACGTAAGACACGCCTCAGGGGCGTGCTTTTCTGCAAAATGTATCAGATCGATAAATAAAGATGAATGGTTATCTGACAGATAAAAAAAGATTATCATGGTGATTTTTCAAAAAAATCGCCGATTTACTAATGGCGAAAGAGATAGGTGTCGAGGTGTAATCCGAAGGCTAAAATGAAATAGGCATGTGATGGATGGGGCAATTGACTGGCAACATCCACTTGTCCACGTCAACACCCTCCCAATCTTTATTATATTTTATATTAACATCAATTATGCTTTTAATTCTCTTTCGAAAATTACCTTTCCTGTTGAACCCTAAAATTATTAGCCTCTCTTTTTTTGGTTGAAGGTGGCGGCACTGATATTATTTTTCTCTATTTTTTATATTATATCTTTGTTTTTTTTATTACATTTACTTTTTTAATAGTTCTCTATTTATGACACGTTTTACTATGTTTTTATAGTATATTTTTTTGTCTTTTGATATATTTTTTTTATTATTTGGCCGTTGTTTTTGTTTATTTTTTTTAATGTTAGATTTGACATTGTCACGACTGATCGAGATGACTCTTATTTGTTATCATGTTGATATTATTTGTTTTTAAACCCTTTGACTTATTTGGATATGTGATTTGTGTTCGTGAATAATTTTCTCACGTCGCTCGACCCTGATTTACGATCTGTTAGTGGTCTTTAAGTAGTTTCATCCCCTTTTATGGTTCATTTACCGATTCGGTCAAATTTGTTCGTATTTATCTTTTTTTTGAGCTTTTTAGTTAGGTTTTAAACTTTTTTCTTGTTTGGTCTTTGTGTAATCTAGGTTTTTTAGTTAGGTTTTTAATATTTCATGTTTTTAATAAAAGTAGCGGATTCTATCAAAAAAAAATCTCTTTCGAAAATGTAAACTTATACTTCTAAGAGATATTTTTATTTTTTTATTTTATTAAGTTAAAGATGATTAAAAAATAGTATTTGTTCTAAAAAAATTTAATTATTTTATAATAAACGCTCAGTAACTTCTGTTACAATCATTAATGCTCGAGCCTGAAACTTGCAAGAGTAACAATTATTTTTTAACCATAAAAGTAATTTGGTTCGTACATTCTTTTTACTTTTACAATGCTAATAATTTATTATAATCGATACTACTGATAATTGTTTCTCTAATATAATATTTTAGATGCATATATATAATAATCAGAGTAAAGTGAATAAATGATCTAATGATTATAGGTTATTATTTTATTGAGTGTTTTAATTATTAAAAACTACAAAATAGTCCATTAATTAGAAGATGTTACTTTATTCAGTTCATCGACTTTAAAAGTTACAAAATGATCACTTGATTATTCATAGGTTCTAAACTCATCATTTTCTGTTAAAAAATTGATAATTATTAGATGTTTATGTTAACTTATTGATTTAGATGTAATGAAAATAATATTTCAATGATGTCTAGTGGTAGGACCATTGCTTTCAAGCACTAACTTGACGACACAACATAAACGAATAGTCGATTCATGACATACAACTCAGATGATTCTATGATAAGATTTTTATCATATATAATTAATAGGTTAACGTCTGAGCCACTAATATTTTAATAGAAAATGACGAGGTTGAAACATATGTTACCTTATAATTACCGTAACTGTTTTTTTAATTTAATTGAAATATATTTAAATACGTTATATACAAATCAAATGATTAAATTCAGCTTTATCAAATTAAACAAACTCAAATGCAGAGTGAAATTGGTTTTATAAATGAAATAATTAAAAGTAGTCAACGTAGACTAAGATTAGCCTGCATTCTCTTACTACCATTTTAGTGGAATGCACTTGGGCGGCTCTTTTATTAATCCATAACCTCGTTATACTTTCTATTCATACATTCAATACGCACTTCAAGCATTGCTATTTTCAATACGTAAACATTAGTTTTTAATGCATTTCTTAAATGATTCATTAATTCTAGTACTTGAACCGAATAAACTGTTAACATTATATAACTGTACACTTGAATTAATAACCTCTAAATTGTTGTAACAACAGCAATAGAGCAGATCAGTTTAAACGTTCAATTTCATGTCAATTTAAATTGATATATTTGTTAATATATAATTATCAATCAATTTTTTTACATGAAATAAATAATTTTTTTAATTTATACATGTATAAGTAAATTATTTATTTTGTGCATTTCTGGTCTTAGATTAGGATGTGGATGATCATAGAAAAGTAGTAGAATAATGTAGCGGTGGAGGAAATGCATGCCTCTCACGATTAAAATGAATAGAAAGAGTCGATGGAAAAGCAGGTAGGGAAGGTGGTGTTTGGTTGGTAGGAAAATAGTGTATCCCTTTGCCTTAATCGTGGGTGGGGAACTCTTTGTTTTACTTGCATTCAACTGGGGAAACACTTTTTTTTCTCCTCCTTTTCTTTTTGGGGTTTAATATAATATTGTAACACCATCCATGTTTCGGCACGTGTCTCGTCTTTCACAATCTGTAGTTGTGACTTGTGAACTCCATGTGGCCTATGAAACAGGAAATAAATGAGCGATTGGGATGCATCACCCCACTGTAACTTGAGAAACCCTTCTTCTCGGAAAAAAAAAAGGAAACTTCGATGCATCACCACTGCTAAGAATTCCACCGGATCGGATTTCTCAAACAATGGTTTCTTTTTTAATGTATAAAACACAATAGTATTAGTGAGTGCGATGGCTTAGGGGTTAATTGAATTTTCAAGCGTCTCCATAAATAAGTTTCTAAAAGGGGGGGGGGACATATAATCCTAACGATACACAAATCATGTAAAAAAAACATATGTTTTTACATAACATACAATATTAGGTAAAAAAAAGGGCATGCATGAGAGAGAAGGGGGGGGGGAGTCCAAGAGGAGAGACGGCACAGAAAATGAAGATAGCAAGAAACGAAATCCCAATCTATTTAAAATAACATGTACAATGTTATTTTTCTTAATTATATCAGAATGGACATCTCAAATATTTTTCTCAAGAAAATACATCCCAATCTACCTCGAATATCAATCTTAAAAATAAAAATTACGGATCGAGTAATACCGCTCTAGGCATGGCAATTGCCTAAAACCATCAAATGATGAGCTGTTAATCTATAACTCAATGTTAAACAGTAATAAGGAACAACAATGTGTGTGACCATAAGAACAGAAAGATCAGTATGAATCTAGAAGCACAATAATTAATTAAGCGTTAATTAGGGTCACGATCAAGGAATCAATGGCACAACATGCCTTCAATTGATATCTAACTCTTTGTCCATGCATATAGTCAAGACTGACAATTTGACAACAGAAAAAAAGGCTGCACTAACTTAGAACATCTTGCTTGTAGCACTTGTCCAAATACAAGGGTTAAAATATTACCTTCGCAATGGGTAAAGGTACATTTACATAGCGTGGCCATTCACGGATCATGTCATTCACAAGCTCAGCCTGCAGTGTATTCTATGATCAGTTACACCAAGAAGCATTGTTCAATCATAAAGCTGGAAAGTAGTTAGCAGTTCATGCACAGTATAGATATCTGGTCCACCCAACTCAGAGACTTTTCCCATGCTGGTTTCATCATCTTTCAAGGCCCCAACGATTGCAGAAGCAACATCATTAACATATACAGGCTGGATTCTGTAAAGAAACTATTGTCAGCAAAAGATGCACAAAGCTTGCAGAAGAAACAAACCCAACAAATTTCAATTCAAAGGATCAGTTATAATCCAAAATTACTTGGTAGATCCATTGCCAATAAGTGGAAGAAAGCTATATTTCTTTGCAAAGTGCGCCCACAGATTCATAATCCGATCCTCAGTACCATTCATTACAGCAGGTCTCATGACAGTGGCCTGCAGAAGGAATAATATAATAAAAGTGGTGACGTTGAAATCACAATTCACATAAAAAATTTGGAAGCCTAGGGAAGGCCAACCTTTAATGAACTAAGCAATCTTCTAAACTCAGTTTAGCCCTTTACTATACTCATTTCTCACTTACCTTCCCTCAAATTAACCAGGAAAGAGATGCTTCTACAATTTTATTATTCACTTTGGTTTTGTTCTATTCAGGTTCTTGTTATGAACTTATGATTGCACCCTGAGCTATGAGTATTCTCATGATATCCTAGAGTTGAAATCAAATGTTTATACCAAGTCCAAAACTAAGTTTGGATAATGTGAAATTCAACAACTTTGAGAAATAATAAATGCAACATTTTCTAGGTCATTTCTTTGATAAATTCCGTATATAGCTATCAGGTAAGAAGTATCAAAAGTTCGGTATTACGCAAAAGGGTGAAAAATAACAATGTACTCCAATCAAAGATTAAATTGCAAAAGGATGAACTTGTACTCTACTTTTTCTTAGGATAACAGGAAAACTTCAAGTAAGCCATTGCATAGCATTAAAACAATATAGAACCAGTTTGCAAAATCAGCAAAGATGTTGAAGGATGGTGATTTGGATTTTGGGTGTAATTTAAGTTCCATGTTGGATTTGATTTGAGCTTTGGGCTCATCGTTTTCGGATGACTGGGTATATTGGGCCTTTACCCTTAAACATTCATGCGAATCAAAACAAAATTATTTATAAAAAAACAATCCATTGAAATTATTATTGAATTATTTATAAAAATAATTAATCGCATTTCAGTGAATTTTTTATTCTTGGTTCAAAGAATCTTATTACATAGATAAAAAGTTACAACATTATGATGATAGTGCGCACTAAATTGGAACAAAAAATTGACAAACCTATGTGCATTCTCATAAGTCGGAGGAAAAACATTTCATATATATTTAATATTTTCTAATGATTAATCCTATTAATTAATCATTTAAACTAGTGACGAAAACCAACGGTTAATTGGTTTTTATGTTTTTATAATGTATAATTATTACTTTTCTAAATTTTTTATTTGATTATTGTTGAACTAGTGATTCATTCCGTTTAATTGAGAATTACTAATCTAATCTGTTTGATCACCGATCTAATTTATGCAACATTTTTTTTTTGAATGGAAGAGAAAGTAAACAATAGAAATAAATATCCCTAACTTGTAACGAGAGGCCTGGATGTCCTCTTGGAGGAAAGAAATGACCGCCATCTGAGGTGCTTGATATGTCTGCAGACCAACATATTGAGACCAAGTCAAATGAGCTATACTATATGCCAGTTCATTCCTCTCACGAGGAGAGGAGGCAAACAGTAGATTCCATCCTCGTCCAACAAATTCCAAAATGTGAGCTACCATCGAAGAAACATTCATCTTCCTTGGATTGGCAACATTCGTCTAGCCGCAGAAGCATCCATTGGTGCACTTGACAGGCTTTATGTGCCCCCTAAAGAAAACGGTGGTATGGGTTTTAGGGATCTCGACAAGTTCAATATTGCACTCTTGGCCTCGCAAGGTTGCCGTTTGCTCACTAAGCCGGGGTCTGTTATGGCGTGAAATTTATGTGCGAAGTACCATCCTAGTGCTACTTTTGACAAGGCTCTCATAGGTTCCATCCCTCCCTCATTTGGAGAAGCATTTGGAGTCCTAAAGGCCTCTTGAACAAATGTTGTATTTGGAAGATTGGAAATGGACTATCCATATCTTTATGGAGTGATTTTTGGCTGCCACACTTTCCTCCTCAGGTTCAATGTTAATTTTGTAGCTGATTTAATTCATCACTCAACTCGATTGTGGAATTCTCAGTGGATTAGTACCATCTTCCCTTTGTACATAGCCCAGGCAATTCTCACTATTCCCCTCTCAAGTTCATTTCAGGAAGATTTGCTGGTGTGGAGCGATGAAAAATCTGTAATTTACTCGGCTAGAAGTGGTTATCGTTTGCTAATCAACCCTATGATATAAAATTGCTACTCGGGGCATTTTTACAAAAACATTTGGGGCCTCTCTTGTCCAATGAAGATTAGAATTCCTCTCTGAAAATTTTTCCAGAACTTCATCCCAACGATGCAAAACCTTTTCATTAAAAGGGTGGTGCCCAACAACCTTTGTCTCCGTTGTAAGCAGGTAATTGAAGACTAGATTCATGTCAGTAGGGACTGCCCTTTTGCTATTAATGTGTGGATTTCTGTTGGTGTTTCGTGGCCTAAAATTGTGAACTTTTTTGAGTTTGTAGATTGGATCGATTGGCTTTTTTCAAATAACAGCAGGGCTCGTCACAACGAAATCGCAATCAGTATATGGGCTATTTGGTATGCAAGGAACAAAATATGTATGAAAATTCTATTCAGAGAGTAGAGGACGTTGATACCTTCATTTGAAGTTATGTGGGTGAAATTGATACTATGTCCCATAGGCTTCTTCATCTTTTGGTGTATTCGAATTCCTCTTGGCGACCTCCTGCAGAACCTAATGCAAAAATCAATGTTGACGTCAGTTACAACTCTTCGAATGCTACTTCGTGTTCTGGTTTCATTGCCCTCGACAGTGCTGGATTAATCTTGGGCTCTGGTTTTCGCCACAACGAGAATGTCCATAGCAGTTTTGCGGCGGAAGCCTTGGCAGTGATTCAAGGATTAGGTTTCGCTCTCGATCTGGGTTTAAACAAAATTGAGTTAAAAGGGGATTCCAGGGCTGTAATTCAAAAAATAAACTCACCTTCTACGGATTTCTCTGTCATTCGCCCATTTACCTCTGATGCGAGAGCTATGGCAAGCCGTTTTCAGTTCTGCACTTTCAACTTTGCGCCGAGAAATTGTAATCTGGCGCGCATGCACTATGTCGAGAAGGCATGCGGATCAAGGAGGACAGATACTGGATCGAGGATGACCCAGGAGACGTTTCTCTTGTTGCTGATGATGATCGCCGCCTGATCGATCCCCCATAGTGGAGCGTTTTTTACCTTCTGTTTAAGGGCTTTGTTTTCTGCTGAGAATGCCCTTTCCTTTCGTCGATTTGCCGTTTCCAGCTGTTTAGATCGAGGAAGATGAACAGTCTGAGCTACTTTTCTTTTTGCACGTCTTTTCTGTTTCTTAAGACAGATGCCTTGTTTGTATTTTTCCTTATTGCCACGTTGTGTTTCTTTCACTTTATTTCAATAAAAGCTCAGACGTTCTTTTTGGTAAAAAAAAATCAAAAGATAATCACATTATGCCAATTAAATATGTCTAGAGAAATTGAATTATTTGTAATTACAAATAGTAATTATATTTTCATAGAATTATATTGATATTTTAATATACTCTTAAAGAAAAGAAGATGGGTTTTTAAAAATAAAATCTAAAATGTAAAAATATATAGAAACTTGGAGTATATTGTAACCACCAATTTATTTGGTTGTGCAATTTATTTGTAGTTTTATAATAAAATTTAAAATAAAGGAAGTAAACACCATTTTTTATATCACTTTGGGGATGCATCCTTTTTCTATAATATTTTGTTGTAATGAAGTATCATCGTTATTGAAAAAAAGAAGGTAAATACCGTGATGGGATCAACTTGTAATTGTAAAGTTAATTTTTTTAATTAAGTTAAGATAATTACAAAGTAATATTTTTTAAATACTCTCATTCATTTGATAATGAATATTTTATCACCCTATTGTAATTGTTGATACTCAAACTCACGACCTCTAAGAATAACAACGATTCCTTTAACCACTTTGATTTTAAAATAAGTTCTTCTGCTTGAATATTGTTTATTTTAATGTTTTTTATTATAATGTTGAATTGCAAAACTCTTTTTAAAATTGGGAACGTATTAAGAGTTCAACACTTTCATCGATGATTTTTAGACTAATTGATTAAAAATTTTCGGTTCGTATATTCCCCCCCTAAACTGTAAGTTAAATATTACCTCTGTTTTATTAAGAATGTTCTTATTTACTTTTTAAAAGTCAAAATTTTAAAATTAAATTTTATTAAATATATATTTCAAAACTACTTAAATAAAGGTTTCTAAAATATCCTTTTTCAAATTTTATCAATAATATATTTAAATAATATTGAGTAAAAATTAAAAATTTGACAAAAAATTAATAGAGAACAATTTAAATAAAAGAGAGAGTATCAATTACGAGTAAAATTCTATGCTCCTTCCATAAATAAAAACTACTAAAAAATAAAAGAGCTTAAAATTTCACTTTACCATAAAAAAGGGGTAAACTACACAGTGGTCACAAAATATTTGGGGTATTTTCATTTTCTCTACTAATATTTCAAAAGTTATAAATCAATCACTAACGTTATCAATTGGTTACAAACTGGTCACTCATTGTTAACAAACGTTAATAGGCATGACGAAAAACATACTGAGCGCGTTAAGTGCTTACATGGACTTGGTTGACTAAGTTGACAAAAACATACAAAATTAATTTGCGCCCCGGTATTGATTATTTTAATTTTAATTGATCAAAATACGAAGAATGAGATAATAAAAAAATCTAATAAAATACATGTATGTATTTAAGTAGTTGCGTATGCAAGATATTTATAGGCCATCAAAATCATCCAAAGAAACCTATATTATACATTGATCATTTCATGAAGAGTTACTCTATAAAGTGTTGACATTTATAAGGATTTGTGAGTAAGACCAAAATTTGATCCATAAGCATTTTAGCAGCCTTTTGCTGCCAAGTGAGTCACAATTTTATGGCACTACACCCTTCACTGTTCGAAAATGGCTTAGGGTCACTACCAATAATGTTTGAGATGCCATCAATCTTCCAGAGTTACACAGTACTTTATATCTGATGGAGTTCTGCATCTAGGAATCTTATCCTGACGCAATGTACCTGTTGGTCGGATTATGTTAAGGGTTCGTGTTCAAAGGTAGACAATCGATAATCCGATAGAGCGCTAAATAGTTGAGTGTCTACAAACAGCTGCAAAAGGGAAAACAACAGCAATGTGTTCCATCAAGATCCAGTGCTGCAAATCTGTAACATATGGTCGACACATTTGCGAAAGTGAATGTAAAATTACCTTAATAAAAGGCCGATCCCTGCTATGAAAAGAGTCGATGAAGCTATCTTTAAGTAGTAAGGAAACCTGGAAGTTAATGAACACAAAGAAAATGAGAAAGATCTACTAGTTATGCAGCGATTTGTTACTTGTTAAGAAAGAAACCAGAGGACAACATAAATTATAAGAACCAAAGTGTCAACCCTGTCACTGGATTCTACACTAGTAATTGTATGAGATCTCAGATCCGCACAAAGTGACTCGAAGTATTGTCGCATGACTTCCAAAAATTCTGTTGCAGCTTCAGCCTGAATAGGTAAAACTGATATCAGTTGCTGCAAAAGACAGAATAAAAAATATCGATAAAATGACCAGTAAACACCTGCACTTCATTGCACCTATATGTGGGATGCTTTCTAGCAAATGAACCTTCTAATGAGAGTCTGGAATGTATCGGCCCTAGTTCCGATTCAAGTTCTCTGTGTCGAGGAAGGGTAGGCAAGTGGCATGTTTTCACCTGAATAACATTCAAAAGAACTAAGAATACTCCGAGTTAGGGTGAAACTATTCGAGCAGTCATAACAGATTATCGAATCTCTGTACAAATTGTTCAAGAGAGTTAGAGAGCACAGAAAAAACGATGAATACACTAAAATTACAGTATATATCGAACATTATGCAAGTGTTATAATCTGGAACTATAAATCTCATAACCAAATAATGCAAACCGTCTAGAATCATAGATACCTGGTTCTTGTGCACATTAACTTGAACAAGATTAGATGTTTTCATTTTCAAATCCATGGGTTTATGTTGTAAGCCAACCTAGATAATGAAAGAAACAAAAAAATAAATCCGGCATTATATTGTAACATCGTTGGCAGATAATAATTTGTATGTTCATTCAGAGCTTTAACCTACTTACGAAAGCTGAAGAATCATTTCCTGTTCGTGCGTATGCGATATAAATCACATATACATGTAAAGGAGCATGCTTTTTGTCTTTCTAGGCATGTCAGCTAAGAATTTCATGAATCATACCATCATTTTTCTTTTAATTATTGTTGACATCCAAAAGAACACTACAACTCACAAGAAACGGAACTGGTGCATCAAGAAAATCAAGCATCCTCATCGGCAGCACCTGAGTTCGATTATAGTTTCAGAAAGTGAGACATAAAGGGTCATTTCAGATTATTAAAAGTATGAATGATATCCAGAAGAATAACCAAATGCAGTTTGTAACTAAAAGCTAAACATCCGAAATGGAATCTGCCACTAAGGATCAAGGGACTCTACTTGAAAGAGATAAGGATCAATATTAACAAGTTACAGTTACATTAATATATATATATATATATATATATCAACTAGAGTTTCAGAAAGAGCAGCAGGGATAGAGGTTAGGGAGATTACTGGAAGACATAAACTCTGCCACTGGAACGGACGAATCAAAGGAACCATAGATAACACCACAGCCGATAAGACACCCTGCATTGATGCAAATTAGTGTTGAAATCGGGACATAATCTATAACTGGCCATAGAAAACAACTAAGTGCAGAACACATCGGAACGGAAATATGAATACGATCTTCTTACCAGATTAGGGCAAATTACTACGACCTGTTTTTCCAATAATACTCCAACAACCATTGCTAAAATCTGGAAGCATGATCAAAAGGTGAAAAACATATCTACCAAGATGAATTGAAGTGAAGAGGTTTGCATCATAGAACATTACACTATCAAGGGAGAGGACTCGACAAATTGTTGCTACTGTCCATACGGAAAGTGCAAAAGCTTCCTCAGCTGCTGCCAACTTTGCATCAACCTTTCACAAAGTTCAGTGATATCTAAGTGAATATATATACTACAAAGCAGGCATTGACAAAAAGGGTGTAACAAAGAAATACCTCGGCAGGATCAGATGAAGATATAAGACTTTCATCCACTCCAAGGGCAGAAACTGGAAGTCTCACATACTCAATAGCCTGTAAATGCTCAAGAGGCTGAAAAATTATTTCACTTCCTCGTGGAGGAAGAGATATAGCATGATAAGCACAAACGATCCCAAGAATGTCGTTTTTGTTTTCCTATCAAAGTGATCAGTTAAGCAAACATCAAATGGAAATCCAACTATACAAATGACATGTAGAAACCAATAGAAAACTGACTCTAGCCCACTCCAATATTAAGTCATCCCCGAAATCTTTTTCAGGATTTGAGAAAAGGTCATCGTCATCGTCATCCTCTGATGCCAGGCTTCTAGCTGGACTGCCAAAGATAACCATTTACTGAATTGTGATAGGGATAAACTGGGGGGAAAATCACACGAAAAAAGAGAAATCTAAAACAACAATAGATACTCTCATATAGCAGGCAGATATCTTACAGTAATTTTTCACATGAGAATCTCGTTTAGTTATGGTAATGGAATTCTTTTCTGTTTATTCTAATACAAAATTAACAATCAATTTAATCATAATTTACCACCTGAATAGGCATGGAGAACTCCCAACTCTCTCGAATTTACGGTTCCTCAAGCTAATAAACGTTCCAATCTCAGGAGAAGCTTGTTCATTTTCATAGTTGCCATTTATTCTTTCGGAGGCATCAGAATGATATCCCGAGGCTACAGATATATTATCATCAAAATATAGGACATTCTTCCTACCATCCCTATCTATGTCCACAACTTGGCCCAAATCTGAAACGTCACTTGCTGCTACACTTTCAGATGTCAGTGCTGAACTCATCTTTAGTGAAACAGATGAAACCTCGTCATCAGCAGTTAATCCACCAGCAGCTGGATTATGAGTTATAGAACTGTTAACAGGTATTGCAGAAGCCATCCAATTGTTAACATACTCTCGGTCTAGAGACTCGGCATTATCATTCATTTCTTCATCTAGTTTGGTGGCAGATGGGACATAATCATTGAGAGACAAAGACATTTCATTAACAAATTCTGTTATTCGATTCAAGCGCTCCTGAGCAATGATACTGCATCCAAGTAAAACATTGAGAATATAGAGTATCAACAACATCATACTCATAGTAAACATCAGCCTCAAATTAGAGTAACAGTATGGATCATTTGGGAAAAGGAATTAACTTTGAACCTGTTTAACATCTCATAGTGTAACTCAAAGAAAGGCACTTTAGTTAGCAAACAATAGCAGCGAGGTGCAGATACCATAAACTGGCAGCATGCTCCAGATGATCTAGGAGGTGATGTAACACCTAAAATACCAGGTTGCCTCTGAACAAGTTCCAGAACGTGTAAGCAAACACCGTAAATCGTAGCATTGCCCTGATCAAGGGAGCATAAAATGTTTCACAACACCATAATTTCCTGTTCGTCATATAAATGCTTATTCTACAAGAAGTGAAAGGACATGAAACAAAACCGAGAAATTCTCGTTCCATTGTCGGACTCGAGTCATTTACACAGGTTATAAACACTTAAAGTGGTCATAATGATCGAGTAGAAAAATGAAAGTAATGTTGGAGAGGTTGAATTGCTAGATTGCCATAAAGGGATCCAGTTCCACACAATCAAATCCGTGCAAGCATTTTGAGGATGCAACAACAAATCTGAGGAAGAAATATGAAATGTACCTCAAGTTTAAAAATAAACGCGCTATCGTCTATGCTCAAATGCTCCTGCAAAGAATGTAAGATTAATGTTACTTTTCTCTTCAGGCCAACAGTTACAAAACTCTTTCATCTTTTATACAGTTGGAGCAGCATCATTGACTAAGATAAAAATGGAGGTAAGCACAGATTCATTTGCACATGCATGTTTTTAAAAGAATTACTCCCCAACACATGGAATGGTTTTGGATGTCAGTGGTTGAAAATAGATATCTTTCTTACCCTGCTTTACCATATAACTGAATATAGGAAAATCATATAATTTTGTCTTTTATCTTCTTTCCTCTGCTATGTTTTATTTACTTGAGAATGAGCCAGTCATTCTGTAATCCCCCGTTCAGGGGGAAAAAAAATTGGATATTAGAAGAAAAACTCAACATAGGTCTTTAGAGACATTTTTGGTCAAAGCGAATGATTAAGGTTTTATTCCATTTCCCTGAGTCAAAAAATTTATCTTCTAATGGCATATAGTCTAATTTTTAATTTCCTTTTTTTTAAGTAAAATCCTTCATTTTCTAGAAAAATACTTATAAACTCCCTAAATTTCTTTAAAAAATGCTAAATTCCTTAAACTCAAATCCTTAAATCCCTAACTCTGTAATCTCTAAATGTCATTTTTTGCCTTCGAATCAATCATCATCGCCCATCCCTTTCGTGTCTCCCCCTTGCTGTTGTACGAGATCCCTAAATCTATTCAAATGGTAGGAGGTTCGATCGGTGCGGTCCGTCGATTCAGTTCACCAATGATGACGAACCAGTGGATTACAGCTGGGTGCACGCTACGGCTGAGTTTGAGGGGATTTAGAGATTTCGTACAACGACAAGGAGTGATCGATCAGTAGGGGTCAGTGACGGAAGGGGTGGGTACTGGTGATTGATTAAGTGATGCACGTTCGCCAATAATGATGAATCAATGGGCGATTTAGAAATTAGAGATACAAAACAAGAAGTACTTATTTTTTTAATTAAGTCTTAAAAAAACAAAAAAGGTGCACTAAGACGAGGAGAACATAGGAATTTTTTAACATGGTATAATAGAAATGTATTAATTTTGTATACCTGTCCATAAAGAAGTTCGTTTAGATCACTGAGTGATGGAGTTCTTTCCAGCAACCGTCCCTAATTCATAACAAAATTTAAATGCTGCAAGTCCATAAATGCTAATTCCCAGAAAAGGAAAAAGAAATAGATGATATCGAAATGGTAGTAGACAATCAAAAAATAACGGATCAAACCTTAACACCTCCGGGAAAACAAAAATTGGCCAAGTCCTTCGTACGCATAGCTAAACTCTTCCCAGGGGGGTATTTAAAAAGCATCTGTTCATCACGGAAAAGGAAAACAAATGACCATGTGATGTCTGCCCATATGAAAAGAAATGCCTTCTCGTTGATCAAATGCATATGCTCTAAAAATGATGACTGACAAACCAAGTTCTTGCTTCTGTAATGGCACTGCCTTTATTTGCAAGGAGAAACACGAATTGTTAAATTGCAGAAAATTAAGAAGCAGAGTAACATATTGTTGAAAACATAAAAAAGGGTCTCCTTCTGTTTAGTTATGTAGTCGACCTGAGGCTCGAATGTCGGAAGTGGAGGCCCCCTATGCTGTATCAGCTTAAGATCTATGATTCCAGATCTTTTCATCTCCATCTCCCACTTCTTCCGTCTAGCAAAGTCTTCCTCCATGACCCCAAGATTTGCATCTGGATGAATCCCGACAATAATGAAGTGCTCGAAGATTGATTCGGGTTGCCTGTATTTAATATGATCCTGCAACAACATCCTCAAGATTAGAATTCTGAATTCTGAGTGGCACAGATATATATTAGAATCCCATTTGACTAATGCTCACTACCTGTTTTATCTCAACATCTAAAATCTGAGCAAAGAAAATAGCACAAAGAAAAGGAAGCAATGTGAGACTTGTCCTTAAGAAATGGTTCAGGCTATAATTGTTCTTCAAGAATAAGTTATAGTCAATCCGAAAAACTTGCAGAATTAGAGTGAAAAAGATTGCACGGCTACAGGAAATGCATATGCAAATTGATTGATTACAGGAAACCTGGAAATAAGAAAAGAGCTGAGTCTAAATACCATAGACTTGGAGCTGAGTTGGTACCACTGGCGTTTCTGGTTTGCCAAAACCTCGGGATTGAAGCTCGAGTGGTACCAATCATCCCTCGAATGGCCACCCCATTGCCAAGCCTTCTGCATCTGAATTTTCAATCTATGGAAACTATTGCTACGCCAGTTCCCTGACGTTGGGAATTCACTCCGAGTGTGTCTATGCCCCGATGGCGGCAGCCTTGGTGGACCAGTGTTCCCAGGCTGCACTGGGTTCCGTGTTTCTACAACCTCATTCACAGCCTCCTGAAAATCAGGGTTTATTTCCCAAATGGAAGATCGAGACCGGTCTTCCTGTCCTTCAGCTTCTTCCTTGGTTTCCATTTTGTAAACACTTCTTTTTTTTAAAACTTATGTTACGCTGCTTATTTTACCAATTAAACTCAAACATCTCCTCCATTAAATTGTCAGCCATTACCACTAAAAGATTCAAACCTTTTCATTTATTCTGCAGACTACAAGATACCATTACCATCCTCTTAAAGCAAAGCTTTTTATAAATTAGACAAAGAAACGGGTGCCCTTTTATTACCTATTGATCCTCAGAATATTCTCTAACTACCCAAACCGATCGGTTAAAAGTGCCCAACAGATGCAAATTCTTAAAAGGAAATGAGAATCAAAACAGAACATTTTCTAAATGAAAGTTGATCGAATTGAAACCGGTTGATGCGAATGAAACATGAAAACAATAAGCGATAGAGCATCAAACATAACAAGAACAGAAACAGGAGAGATCTTATCTTACTTGCTTTTATCATAATTATTGTTACTATTAATTTGGTTGTCTGATTAGCAAAGTTTTAGGCCCTTCAAGCGAGAGAGAAGGGAAGGGAAATGCTAAAAATAGAGGGGAGATAAGAGGAGGAGATGAAGCGAACTCTACCGAAAACAATTATAAATATTAAGTTTGGATAATGCATCATGTGCATTATAAATATTAAAATTTTAAACGATTCGTGCTCGTTAAAATAATTTATTGTTCGACTCATTACTCGTTAAGTTCACCGAAATTTCTACCTTATTTTCTTAATTAGAGATACAATTTATTAATACTATCTATAACATAATATAAACATAAATTTATAAATTTAATCAAGAAATTATCAAAAGAATATATAAAACATATTTAAAGTCTAAACTCTAAAGTAACAATCACCAAATACATTAGAATAAATTTTAATATAAAAACAAATATTCAAGCTATACCCATTTTCTTATTTTAGGTGTCGGTTACTAGAATCGTTGTAATATTCTATTAAGTTTTTTCGATAATTTTAAAGATTTTATTATTTTAAAAAAAAAACTAAAAATAAGTTAATTTTATTAATAAAAAAACTGAGAAGGATTTTCAAATTTAAGGGCGGAAACTGTTTTATTCCCAAGTAAAAAAAAAAGGAGCAAAGAGCACGAGTCAATATATTACATGATGCTAACAGAATTGATTTAAGTAATAAATAATTTAAAATCGTTAAAATAAAATCTTAAATTTAAATCTTTATCTATGAAAAAAGACGAAACATTTAAATAGGAGGACAATCGGGAAATATAAATATAAATATATATATATATATATATTTTTCTTTCTTCGCTTTCACGGTATTAGAAGCCAAGCCAAGTCCAATTTCCCTATTTCACTTCACCTCACTTCACTTCACTTCACTTCACTTCATTACACTTCACTACTTCAATTCCAATTCCGATTTCTCCCACCCAAAAAAAGGGCAACAAAATCTTCTCAATATTTTAAAAACCCTAATTTTTTGACATTAATCCCCTACAAATTCGCCTTCCTAAACCCAACATTCCTCCCTCTGACGTAATCTTCTCTCTCTCTCTCTCTCTCTCTCTAAATCCCAAATCACTGAATTATTCATGTATCCAAGCCTGCTTTTCCTTTTGATGTAACCTGTTTTTCTTATTTATTCAGATTGGTAGAAGCCCAGCAATTCACCTGAATAGGAGAAGTTTGTTCTTACTTTATTTGTTTTGAAAAAATAAAACCCTAAAATTTTTGTTTGCTTTTTTTATGGAGCCGTCTCCTATTATTTTTGACCTAAGCTCCGACGACGAGGAGGCGACACCGGCTTGGGAGGATCCAAAGGGGGACGATTACAACTGGTTATCGGACGTTCTGGAAGCCGTTGATAAGGTTTTCCATGACCCTGATGACTTGATGGTTTTCGGGGAAGTCAACCCCACTAAGAAGTCAAAGTCACCGAATTCAGTGCTTAGGAAGGTTGCTGAAGAGGACGATGGGGATGATTGCGTCGTTTTGGAAGGTGACCCAGATAAGGCGTCGTCGGATGTTAATGAACCCCAAAAAGACTCCGATGAGTGTCTTATTGTCGGCCAAAAAGGGCAGGTAAATCAATATCTGTGTTTTTGTAAAAAAATTTCTTTTGACTGAGTACGCTGATTATTTTTTCCAATGTTTTGTTGCTGAAATTAGGCAAGCGGTTTCTTTGTCGGTTACGGCGGTTACTTGTTAAATTTGTGGTTTCTTGAGAGTGAAGGCTTTGTTTAGTTCATGTGCTTTCAATGTGAACGAAGGCTTTGTTTGGTGTCTTGGTGATGAGTTTTAGGGTTGCTTTGCTTTAGAAAGTTGTTATTTGAATTTCTGGGTAGCATTGCGTATTAAATTGACCAAAAACTATTGGGTTTTTTTGTTGCATTTTTTAGTGTTTTTCATTGCGGTTCTGGATTTTTTCTAGTACGTGTTTTTGCTCCTGCAATTTTGAATGTTCATGTTGGTTAAAGATGTGATATGCATTTTATTATTCTTTCAAGTTTCAACCTGCTGAAACACCTTCATGGGTTAATCAGTGTGTTGTGTTGTATGTGTCAACTGGAATGCACAAGTGAGGATTTAGCCTTCAAAACACGCAAGCATCGGTACATAGTCCTTTTCTCATACAAGAGCTATATCATTATTTTTTGGAGAAAAATGGGATGTCGAGATTGGTTGTTTTTACTGGAGGTGAATGTTACTGGGTTGAGTTGCTGTAGGGTAAAATGCCTGGTTCGAGAACTTTAAGACCTATCCTTATGCTCACCTGGTCTTAAAGACACTATATCGTCTTTTTGATTGGTAGTTTTTTGTTGTAGAAGTGGAAAAAATGGTCCAATCTTGCTGCTGAATTTCAAAAGATTGAAAGTAGACAAAAGGCTGAGTTTTTAATCTTGGGATATCTAGGAGACTAGGACCTGGGGTGATCTTAGGGTGCATTTATGTAAAATTTTTAAATATTATTAATGTTTAACTTACTCCTTTACCTTTTGCTTTAGGCATTGAAGACTGTATCTCTTGCCTCAAAGTTACCATATTTGTTTGTTAAAAAAAATGGTTACCATATTTGTGATAGCTTTCTCATTTCTCTTGATATGGTTGCAGATTGCATGCAGAGATTATCCCCATCCTCGACATGATTGCGCTAAGTTTCCATTCAGATCAACCTCACATGAACAGCATTGTGAATTGGTAATATCTTAATTTTTCGTAAAGTGACTTGAAACTTTATACTTCTATGATGGTTGACTGTTTCATAGTTTGGTGCTCTTGAATTTAACATGCATTTCTAATACCAAAAATGAATGCCGTTCTGAAATTGCAGTGCCATTGCTTTGTTTGTGACTTGCGAGCACCATGTGGTTATTGGGGCTCAGGTACCTCTAATACTGATCATTGTCATGCCACTGATAAAGAGGAGAAGTGGAAGACTTTGAGGAAGACTTTCAGGAACGAGAGAAATTCTCCAATACCAGTTACAAAAGCTCCTGTCACCTCTCACTCTACAGCATTTCCCCGACTTAACCAAGCTCCACGACGTGACAATATGCAGTATGCACTGCAAAATCAAGTTTCTAGGCTGATTCCAGCTCGAGCTTCTCGGAATTTCATACCTCAAATTCCCATCCAACGGCCATCTATAGTTCGTTCTTCATCTACCAGATATGAAGTTCCACATCATCTAAATGTGGGTAGCCAACATGTTTTAAATAGGAGAATGCATCCGCATCCAGTTTCACGTCAGTTACTAGGAGTGCATAATACAGTAATTCGAAGGGATCGAGGTATTAAAGTTAGTAACTTGGGTCCCCAATTTGTCCCTTCCAACACCATGTCGAAAAGAATGGAAGTTGCCTCAACAATAAACCGCACTGCATTTGTTCCATCAGGAAACTATTCTCCTATTGCTTCACAACATCAGCAGAATCCCGCATCTGTTACAATATCAAATGAAAGGAGTTTAAATCCCATTGGGTGGCCAAATCGTGATTCTGGTTCTATTTTATGGACATCTGCACACCCTTTGTCTTCACAACCTGGTACGGACAGTGTCATTACCAATTCAGCAGCCTCTCAATCCTCAGCATATGGTCAGCCTGTTCTTCAGTCAAGCTTGAACCATGATAGCAGTTGCCTTCAGAATCAGAATCAACCGGCAACAAATCATGCCTCTTCGGATTCTGACATGAATTGGACCAACGTCTTCGGTCAAAGCAATCAACAACCTTCTGTTGATTATTTACAGCTTCAAAACTGTACAGACGAGAAAGAAGCATCCAAGGAGGAAAGTTGGGGACATAAATCGGTTTTGAACGAGCTTGAAAGCTTCCTTTTCGACGACCAGTCCTTTCCCGAAGATTCTCTTACTGCAGAACTTAATTCAATTTCTTCCAATCACATGTCTTATGACACTGGTATGATTTTCTTTGATATTGAAAGCTCTTGGGATCGTCTAACTAGTGCGTAGTTTATCAGCATAGGCCTGTGCATTATAGAGAAGTAAATCTAGTCCTTGTGCCAAACTCTGCTAAAATGAAACGAGAAATTAGGGTAGGTAGCTGCTTTTTAGAATAGATTTAGTAACTATAATAATAGAAGCTTTGATGGTGTGCAACTGTATAGAAAAACAGCAGGTGGGTCGTTATTCGTTAATCTTTTCCCAACTTTCAATTATTTTGGCATGTATTTGACTTCTAAAAAAACTTAATTCCTTTATGAAAATAGCAAGAAGCAAATATATAACAGAACCATGAACAATAATAAAATAAAATCATTAGAATGATCTTAATTTTATAAATTGAGTTTTTTTAAATAAAAATTAAATTAGTTTTATCTTTTGTGAAGGATATCATATTATCTTTTTAAACAAAGCAATAGAGATTAACAAATATAAATAGTAGTACTATGATTTGAAAAGTAAACTAATTTATTTAATTACAGAATTCTGAACGGTTTCATATCAAAATCACTAAAAATGTTATCATTTCATAAATTCAAAAAATTATATGATTACAATAACTTTATCGATTGGATTTGGTTTAATATAATTATCAATAAAATATAAGGATCTAAGATAGAACATATGTGTTAGCTCTTACTATCAATCGAAGGAATAAATTGACCTTTTAAAAAATCGAATATCCGGGATTGACCTTTTAAAAATTGAAGAACGGAATGAGGGGCTAAATTGGCATTTTAAAAATTGATGGCAATATAAAAATAAAGGGTTAATTACACGGATTAACACTTATGTTTGTGTTTTGTCCACTTTTGGTAACTGATTTCAAAATACATTATATATGGCCACCTTCGTTTTTATTTAATTAAGATATGATTACTTTTGTTTTTATTTATTTAAGATGTGGTCACCATGGGTTAACTGTTGCTAACAGTTAACAGATTAACTGACGTGATATTTTGATATAATCACACATTTGATCTCTATTATTTACACGTGTCGTGCCACGTGTCAACATTCGGTTGGATGACTAATTTTATTTTAATTTAATATATTTATTTTCCACCAATTTGCTTTGCTTTGTTAAAATAAAATAAAATAAAGTTAGTCTTCCAACCGAATCATAACACGTGACATGACACGTACTAATGACAATGACATCATTCGATTGGAGGGTTAAATTTATTTTAATTTATTAAAAATGTGACTATATTGAAAGAATATGTAAATAACAAGGACCAAAGTGTGATTATACCAAAATATTTAATGGTTGTTAACTTGTGGTGATCACATCTTAATTAAATAAGAACGAAGGTGACCATATCTTATGTATTTTAAAATCAGTGGACAAAATACAAACATAAGTGATCATCCGTGTAGTTAACCCAAAAATAAAACTTTATACAACAATATAGTGATTCGATTATATATACCAAAGTCTATATCCACTATCACTAGATTTGCTAACTTTCGAAGACAAGGTGTAACTTTACAACACACAAGATTTACACACCAAAACTTTGTTTACACACTCTCCATATTAAGAGTTACAAATTTAGCAAACAAAAGAAAACATCACAAAGGTAAATGTGTTTGCAACAAATAAGCATTTACCCATATCACACTTGAGCAAGATAAACAATATGCTCAACAAGTGTGTTACAAAGAGTATGACAAATTTGGCTCAAAGACTCTTTTAATGTTGGTATAATCTTTCAATGATCTTTCTTATTGTTTTCCATTTGAATCTTGGTCCCTTTTGTGTCTTCTAATACCTTCTAGTCGTTTGGAGTTATTGGTGGTTGATTAGAGCCATTGAAATCATTAATTTGAGCATTAAATGCTCATATGCAACTTGGTATCGATACAAGGAAGTGATATTGAGACCAAGCATCCTAACAAGTCAAAAATATAGTCGTTGAAGCCTTCGATATCAATACCGTTTTAGTGAGTATCGATACTTACATAACGGTATCGAGACCAACACCTTGATATTGATACCAAAAATGTATTCTAGAAAAATGGATATCGATACTGGCTTTCTAATTTCGAGACTGAGAGGAGATATATGAAAAAAAATCAAGTATTTTTAAGCTTTGAAAATTATGTATAAATTATATAATAACTCAAGAACACTTAAGATTACTTTCACAATTAAAATATTTTATGACAAATTTTCATAAAATTATAAAATACAAATTTGAACAATATAAATAATTTCACAATTCATATTATATCAAAATCAAATATTGTTTCAATAATCTCTCCCTCTTCGACATAACAAAACCCTTTGTGAATTAATAAAAAAATCCTTTTGTGAAATTTTGCTTTAAAATAAGTTTGTCATATAAATTTTGTGAAAAATAAATCTTTCCCTTCGTAAAAATCTCTTTTGCTAGAAACAAATTTACACTTACACATATTTTTCTTACTTCTTATTATAACAAAATCAAATTAAGCTCTAAAAGAGAAAATATGTCAGTGTAATAGATAACTAAATAAATTTTAAACATTTAAAGAGAAAATCAAATTATACTTAACATAAGATAATAAAGTTCATAAACATAATATTACCAACAAGAGTATTTCACATACCAAAATAAAAAATATCAAATATAAACGATAATAAATAGTTGCATGGTAACATAATATTTGAGTTGTAATGCAAAATGTCTATTCTTTTAGAGGTGGTGCCCAAGATGAGGGAAGCATAAAATGATGACGCATCAATGGAAGCCATTTGTGCATTTAAGTTCTCAAAATTTTGAATCATGTAATCATACATGGTCTTTATGGTGATCTACTATTGAGGTGGTGACACATGAGGTGGTGACACATGAGGTTCTTTAAATTCGTTGTCTTCTTCAAATTTTAATTTCGTCAATCTCTTTAAATTGGATTTGAATTTCTTACGGTTTTGATTCTTCGATGGAGCAAGTGGAATAATGATTCGGGTTAGACATCGATAGAAGGTTTTGAAGAGTTTGTGGTGTCTAATCGGAAGGTTGATAATGAAGCTGAAGAGCCGAGGAAGGTAGAGGATGAGAAGGTTGTTGATATTGGACGTGGTTTATAGGGATTAAATTGATAGAATATTGAAATATTGAGAATTAAATTTTTAGAATTAGGATAAAATTAAAATTGTAAAAGTGATCAATAGTTGGAGGACTATCTGTATAGTTTACCCTTTTTCTCTTGTCGTCGTTAATTCTCCTTTCATGGAATCTCTATTGCTGCTATACCTAAAAATCTCACCTTTCCAGCAGACAGCGAAAACGAGTATTAGAAAACCAATAAGATGGCGCTATGGATGGAAGCAGGCTCTGAACCCAAATCTGAAACTGAAATTGCCGATCTCCAAGCCATTTCCGCCCTCAAAGAGTCAACTGCTCTCGAGCTCAAGGTTGTTTTTTTTCCCACCCTCTTTAATTCTTTCCAATCTTTAATCATCTTTAATCCTTTGGGGAAAATGGGTCTTCCAGGAGAACGGAAACGAGTTGGTGAAAAAGGGCAAAAAGCATTACCAAGAAGCCATCGACTGTTACACTAGAGCTATCAACCAGAAGGCTTTGAACGACCAAGACTCCTCCGTTTTGTACTCAAATAGAGCTCATGTAAATTTGCTCCTCGGGAATTTCCGCCGTGCGGTCACTGATTCTCAAGATGCCATTAAGCTCGCCCCTGCTAACATTAAGGTACTACTGTTTTTCACTTATTGTTCTTCCCTTTTTTGGTTCTTTAAAAATTGGGTCATTTGGTATGTTCATATTTAGGCTTATTATCGAGCTGCCAAGGCGTGTTTGTCGTTAAATCTGTTATCGGAGGCGAAATCTTATTGTGAAAGTGGGATTGAAAAAGATTCGAGTAATGAAGAGTTGAAGAAACTGGGAAAGCAGATTGATTTAAAGAAGCTGGAACAGGAACATCGTGAAGCTCAAGTTTCCAAGGCTCTTGTGGAGGCTAAGGTTTCCACTTTTGGATTCTGCAAAACCCATTTTCTTAATTAAACATAGAGGGAAAAAGAGTTTGAATCTTACGTTCATTTTGTTTGATTAGGGAATTGTTTCTGCTATTGAAGATAGAAGGCTGAAGCTTGGGAATGCAATGTATAGAGAACTTACCGGATTAAGGAAGCCGGTGTTGGAGAAAAACGGAATTCTTCATTGGCCTGTTTTGCTACTCTATGCGGAGGTTATGTCCAGTGATTTTATAGAGGACTTCTGTGAAACCGACATGTTTTCGGCTCATCTTGATATCATATCCATTCTGCTTTTATCCTTTATGAATCAAAATGCTTATTGGTTCACCATATGATTTATACTGTATTCATTTTATTTATGTAACTTATGTTTCCTTAACTTTCAAACATGTTTTCAGAAAGTTGCCCACCTTTACCATGGGATAAGAACAACCATTATACCCGTGAAGCTATTGAACTCTATTATGAGGTAAGTCTTGTTGGTTATGAATTGATGATTATGATGAAACCAAGCATCAAATTAACTGAACAAATTCTAGCTGAGTGTGCTGGCCATTGATATCTTATATTAGGTATAAAATGCCGTATATGCCTTTGCCAAGTATTTGTATTATAGTAAATGGCTGGTTGCCTACTTTTAGTATTGCACTTCGAAATCGAGTTTGTACCTGTGGCTGTCTTTATATAGCTGGTAGTCTATTAATGCTATGTTAGGTTGCAGTTGCTGGAATCGAAGACACTGAGGCTGTTTTCATAGCAGATTTTGATGGTATTCTCATTGTCCTTGATTTTTCACAGGCTGGTTCTGGGATTTGCCTGTCTAAGACCAAAATCCTCCGTTATCTCCTAGAAGGGACTGAAGCTGCTAATGTGGAAAGCATTGAAGAGAAGAAAAGGCAACTGATGGTTATCCTCATGGCAATTCTTCAGGTCAGTACTTTGCACTCTACCTTTCACATCAAAAATTTCTCTTTGTTAATGCGTATGTTGCTAGCGTTTCGCTGCTAGAATGAATTGATGAATCAGTGCAGGTTAGTCAGTCTTTCATCATGTTCTTTTTGTAAATATTGGTTTGTTTCTCTTTAAAGAAAAGGAATTGACCTCGTTTCCTCATTAATCTTGGTTATATTACACATTACCGCATTATTTTAGCTGAAGGACCTAGTGTTCGATGTATCAGGTTCATCCAAATGGG